GAATAAGGATTTCATGAGTAAGATCAATCTAAGCTCAACTTATCCCAAGAACATATTTAGAATGATTCTTGAAGGATTATATGATCAATATGGCACATAAAATGTGAAAGGAAATAGTTCAGAAGAGGTTACAAAGAACCTCTGTTTTTCTCGCAAGAAATAAAGTAGGGATCAGCATGTTTATTTCGGAACTGGCGGGACTATTTAGGAATAGAGAAGAACAATCTGAATGAAAATGCTAAGTGATTATTTTAAAGTAAAGAGCATGTATCGGAAGAGAGTTATGAGGCATTGATCTAAAAAACTTTATTTAGTAATAAGAAGAACTACTATTCCTAAATATGCTATTCCTAAATAGATTATTCCCAAATAAGTTAATTTTTAGAAAGACTCAATGCATATAAGCTTATAAAGATCAAAACACTATTCCAAAATAAGGATAACTATTTCAAAATAGGCTATTCTTGAATAGGCAATAGAGATGATACTTGGGAATAAGGAAGGTTTACTTAGGAATAAGCTATTCCAAAATAAGGCCACTATTCCAAAATAAGGACCATTGAGCAGAAAACCAATAAAGGCACTTAGACGTTGAGATTTTGATTCTAAAAACACTTGAGATACCTTTTAAGCAATACAAAAAGTTCTTAAGAGATTAAGATTAAGTCAAATACTTAATCTTTAGTGAAAAACACAATGTATTTTGATTTAAAAAGACTTTACATTTTTCTTGCTTATTTGGAATAAGACAGATATTCATGAATAAGGAGTTCTAAGAGAAAGATATACAAGATATAGAAATTTAAATTCAAGTTGATTAATTTCCTTACAAGCCATTATTTCTTGATTGTTAAACATGTCAAACGCAAACTTTTCTTATTTTATAATCATCAAAATCAAGGTTCAACATATTGATCTTTGAGAAATACGCCCACCATCCGTTTACCATGTCCTCATCTTCATCATGCCTGATTAAGAACCCTGCTCCCACGACAGCCAAAAGTTTATCTTTATACGTCAATGGTATAGTAAGATGATGAGCAGAATTGATTTCCTCCTTTTCTAGAACTGGAACCTTAGCTTTCTTATTATCAATACTACCAAAAACAAAGGTCGTCAGTAAAGCATCCTAAAGCTTGTCCCTCTCTCATCCTCCTCCTCTATCACCGTCTTTCTCCCCTATACCTTCATCGCGATCTCCCTCATCTCTCGTGTTGCCTCCCATCCTCCTACTCTATTTTTATTTTTATTGCTGTATATGTTTTCTACAATTGATGTGAATTGATAACTAAAAACTCTTCATAAAATCGACCTACTTATTTACTTCCCTTTATTATGTCTATGTATTGTTGAACGTTGTTTTGAAATGAAATTGGCAGTTCCCAAAAAAAAAAAAGTCTCTTATTATTATTATTATTATTATTATTATTATTATTGGTAATAAAGCCCCTCTTATTATTTATATCTATTGTTGGTATTTATATCTATTTGTTGATGTTCTTTTGGAATAAAATTAAAAGTTTCATTTTCACATCCAAAAAAAAAGAGATAATAAATAAACAGTTTCACTAAAAAGAGTCTTGTGCATTGTAGAGTCTAAAAAGGAATGTCACATTGTACAACTCTGATTAGAAAACGTACTTTTTTAATCTTAATTCAAATCTCACAAGCAACTTTTGCAAATTTATATGGCACGAAAATGAATGACAAATTTGTACCAAGTGCATGCTAATGGTGGTTAATATTAATTAACTTAATCAATGGCCTCAAATTTAAACTATGAGCATGCAACTACATTTTTTACCAAAAAAAATAAAAAGAATAATGAAATTTTAATACTTTAAGTTTACCTCAATTATCTATTTAATTACTGAAATTTAATCTTTATCAATCAAATCCTAATATTTCAAAACCACATACAATTTGGCCCAAAAAAAAAAAACCACATACAATTAGTCGGTTTGGCTTGAAGAGAAACTCACATTATAAAGACTAATTGTATGTGTTTTTATAATTTAAAAACTTGATTGATAAATATTAAACTTCATGAATTAAATCTATATTTATATAAAAGTAGAATCACAAGCAATATAGTGATGGCACATGTCCTTCATACTTAGATTTATAAATTTAATTTATTCATAATTTCAAACTTTTAAAAGTAGAACTGCAAACAGTATGATGATACCATTTATCTAATTATAACTTCTGTCCCATGGTCTCAAAATCTTAAATATAATTTTTCAATTAATTCATAATTTAAAATATTAATTTTAAAAACATTAAATATATATACACACACACACACACATAATATATTCCCATGTAAAATCATTATTTTGAAAATTGACAAAAAACTGCTTTCCTTTATCCTTAATATTCTGTTCCATGATCTCAAATATAACTTTCTAAATTATAATTAATTTTTAAAAATTTAATTTAATTTAATCAATATATCTTCTATTTATAAATCTCTATAAATTATACTAATCCATGTCACGACCAAAAGAAGAATTTCATGAGTAAATTTAATTTTTTCTAATATATATATAAGTAGAACCGCAAGCAACATGGTGATACCACATGTCCTTTATGCTTAGATTTATTAATTTAATTTATTCATAATTTCAAATTTTTAAAAGTAAAACCGAAAGTAGCATGATGATATCATTTATCTAATTATATATAACTTCTCTGTCATGATCTTAAAATCTCAAATATAATTTTTTAGTTAATTCAAAATTTAAAATCTTAATTTTAAAAAACTTAAATATATCTATATAAATAATACCTATTACTATGCAAAATCATTATTTTGAAAATCAACAAAAAATGCTTTTATTTATCCTTGATATTATTTCCCATGATTTCAAATATAACTTACCAAATTATAAGTAATTTTTAAAAATACAATTTAATTTAATCAATACATCTTCTATTTATAAATTTCTATTAATCAATACAAATCCATGTCAAGACTAGAAAGAAGAATTTTGAGTAAATTTAATTTTTTCAATTTATCTTTTATTTCTCTATCTCCCCTTTGTTTCCAATTATCTATAATCTTTTCTTTTTTATATAGGATTAATGAGTAAATAGGACCCTAAACTATTGCTTAAAAATCACCCTGGACCTTAAACTCTTAAAATATGTAAAATAAATTCTAAACTTTTAAATTCACAGCAAAATAAAACCTTAACCGTTAACTTTTTAACACTATTACCATCCACACTGGTATTGTCAAGGGTTTATTTTCTTACAAATTTAATCCTGACTGTTACAGTACCCGCTTGGACTGTAACTATGTTAAAAATGTTAATAGTCGGGGTTTATTTTTCTATAAATTTTAAATTTTAAGATTTATTTTGCATATTTTAAGAGCTCAAAGTTCATGACGATTTTCGAGCAAGAGTTCAGGGTTTTATTTGCTCATTAGCCCTTTTATATAATGTATTTATAATCTTTTTAACCATGACGTCTCCCATTATCCTAATCTTTACATTATTATTGATTTTTGTATAAATATTTTATTGCAATATCTCTAAAACTTATAGAAACTACTTTGCCTCATCCCTTATTTTTCTCTCTCATTATATTTACTCCTTCATTTTATTTTATCTCTAATATTCTTTTCCATAATCTCTCCCATTATTATAACTTCATATTCTTTTATTTTTAATTTTGATTTTAACTTAAAAATCTTTGAATTATTAAATGTAACTTCCTATTCTTTTATTTTAAATTTTAAAAATCTTAAAAACTTTCACGAATCATAACTCATCTACCCACATCAACCACAACTCATATTGTTTGCATATATTTCTCTACTCATTGCCTCCTTGAATCCCATGCCCTTGGATTTCTCTTACTTCTTGTAAGCATTCAATATAAGGCAAAAAGCATCCATCACCATCCAGGTCAATATTTGAAGTCATTGTCGCCTCATTTGATCCCCTTCCTCCTTTCTCAATTCATCAATTTCCATTCTTCATTTTCTAGACAAACAATTCAATTCATATATCATCGTATGCTTTTTTGTATCTTTCTCACATCTAATGTTTTGGGCACAACTAAGGCATCATATTTCTAATTCAAGCTTAGGGAATGATGGCCTCATGAGAGATTTCACCTCTTTTTTTAGTTTGTGCTTACTCTTCATATATATGCTCCTCAATTTCCATGTTCTATAGTTTATCCAATTCATACTAATTATCTTGCAAAGCACCTGACATTGTTTTACATTATTCCTTTTAAGAGATGTTATGGTTTTTAAAATTTTATTTTATATAATTGAATGCTACTAAAGAGTATATTTATCATGGTTTTCAAATGTCAATGCTCTAACTCTGGGCTATTCTTGTAGTTCTTCCATTGAACTTGAGTCTAAAATGTTTTGGTATGTTTTCATAGTTAGATAACATTTATGCAATTATATTTATAATTTCCAATATGATACCATAGCAACATAATTTTGCCTATACAATTGATTGTTGAAAGTGTTGAAGTTGAGTTTGTTTCAAAACGGCAAAGTTAGGTGGAGGTTTATTGGAAGAATTTCATTGACGTTATTGGGGAGGTGATGAATCTTTCTCTACTATTTACTTCTCATACTCAAATATTACCTTTGTTTTAAAAAAATTATATATAATTATATAGAATATTTATATAATTTATCATTTATAAACTTTAGAATTTCTATAGTAACCCAGGAATTTTAAGCAAAAATTTAACATATATATATTTAGTTATAGTTATATTAATTTTGGCATAATTATGACAAGAGAAAGTGTTGATATAGCGGAAGAGTGCACATGATTTATATATGGGATCCAGAGTTCAAACCTGCTGAAGCATTTAGGAGTTATTTTTTTTAATTTTCTTTATTTTCAGCCTCCAAATTACTAAAATGCCCTCAGCCTATCAGATATAATTTTCTCTTTTTCCTCTTTCCTAAATCACGTTTGGGCATCAAAGAGAGAGGGGGGAAAATCTGGAACTTGCGTGCGATCTATGTTCCTTCTGCTATTCTCGACCTCTAATCCTTCTTCTTCATTCCTTTCCACCACCAACGAGGGAGACGAGTTGCCGTGAGGTCGACGATGCTGGTCCACCATGCTCACAGCTCTTCTTTGCTCTGTTCCTCATCGCTGAATATTTTTCTTCCCCTATTCCTTCTGTTTGTGGGTGATGGACAAGTAAGGAGTTAGGTTGGTGTTATAAGAGGATTGATTTATGAGTTGAGGCTGGTTCAATGTTATTTTCTCCCTCCCCTGTTTGGTTAAAGGTTCTGTTCTTCCCTTGGTTGTGCATGTTTTGTCGAAAACTTGAGGTAAGGAGCTTCAATCTCTTTCTTGTTGCTATGTGCATCTGATTTGGGGTTGAAATGGTGAAACATTATGAATTTTCCTTCTTTCTTCTACTACTCGTGAATGTTATAGAGTTGGGAGTTTGATTTTCTTTAGGTATTAAAAATTTTTTTTTTATGCATTTGTGTTGGAGAACTGAAATTTAAAAGGCTGTCTTATTTTAAATATGGATATTAGTAAAATTTGGAGAATGAAATTTGAAGAAAGGAAGCTTGGTAATAGTAAAGGAATTCATGCCCATGGGATGCTTGTTAAAATGCTTAAAAAGAAGTGTTTTGTAGAGTGATGAATGTTAAAGGATATGATTGTGTTATTGGAAAATCAATTGTCATGGAAGCCAATTACCATCCATAAAGGAAGCTGAAATTGAAGCAAAGAGGTTTGGGAAGAGTATATTGATTGGTAATTTTAGAGCTATTTTGCTGTTTATATATTGTAAATATATTCATGTCTTCAAAATATTTATAAAATGCTTATGCAAGGTTTGAGAAAAGTGGAAACTGAGGTTTATTTGTGATGATGATGATGTGGGTTTGTGTTCTAATTGAGTTTGATTTGATTATTAGTTACATTAATGATATTATGAAATTTTTGGAAAGGAAATTAAAGGATAAGAGGTTGATATGTTTTTTAGGATTAATGCCCATAAAGTGTTTAATAAATAATCTGAGTTTGGCTTGAATTTGAATTTATTAAAGTTTCATTTAATTCTTGGAAGACATAGCAAGCCTTAGCATTATTTTGTCAACTGAGCTTGGGGTTGGCCATATAAATTTGATTATGAAGATATTAAGTAGTGGCTTTCCTGGCTGTGTGGTTATGAGTGTTCAAATCTTCTTCTTCTGTCTCCTTCATCATTATTTGTCCGTCGCTGCAAGGAGTTGCAATAACATCACAATCGGTCTTCTCCCCTGTTTTGTGCTCGCTAAGAATTTGTTTTGTTGCAGAGGTCACTTTCTTTCCTCTCCCCTATTCAGCGTGAGCTTTGATCTCTCCTTCCCTTCTCTGTGATTTGTTGATGATTTAAGGTATAGAAGCTTCAAGCCCTCTTCCCATTTGTTGTTCTCTGTGTGTGTGTGTGAATGCCTTGTGATTTAGGTGATGATTCTTTTTTCTTTTTCTCTGCAACTATGAATCTTGGATAGGGATGAGAAACTGATTCAAGCTAAAATTTTTAGTGTTAAGAGCTATATAATAATAGGTAGGTTGAAGTTTTCCTATGAATTAAGGTTGGTTTTTTTGTTCAAGGAATGAAATTTGGTAAGCTAGATTTATTCAAATATTAATATTAGAGTTAAGAGTGATTTGTCTATTGAACGAATAGAAATTGTGAAGCTAATTATTAATTTGTATATTTATGTTAAAGAATTTTGGGAAATGAAAATGGAATAGGAAGAAGCTTGCTAATAATTTGAGATTAAATGTCCACAAGGTGTTCAATAAAATGATTAAGAGAGAGTATTGTTATATAATGGATTGAAATATATATATATATATATATATGATGATTATATTGTTGATTAAATAAACCATCATCAGAAGAAAATTTCTCTTTAGTAGAGGTTGGAAGTTTATTTGGATTAGTTCAAACATTAATATAGGACAACTTTTGAAAAAAGAATTGAGGAGGAAAAGAACTTGGTCTTATGGTCCAAGTATTGTTCAAAATAAAAGATGTTTAATAAAATGTTTGAAAAAAGGGGTGATTTTGGATTTAACTTAAGTTTTGGTGAAGAATTTTGATTATGAAACTACTGAGTTTAACTTTAGAATTGCAAACAAATTTGATGATTATGGAGGTGCTGCATAGCCAATTGGATATTTGATGCAATATTTGATAAGTATTGGAGTTAAGACTTATCTATTCTACCCCTTTGAATTAATTTGGACTATACATTTTGACTAGTAGTGTGTGACATGTATATATAACACTATTGAAGGGATTGATTGATGAAGAGTACAAGTTGGATTGATCTAGGAACTTAATGATTATGGTGTTGTTATTATCGAAAGGGATTTTGCTAAAATTTATCAAAGGTCACTAAATTTGTATTATTATTATTATTATTGAATAGGGTATTCAAAGAAATAAAATTTTGATTGAAGTGGTAAGGAAGAGTTAATTGAAGTCCCGATTAATATATTCTAGTACTTGGGCACACTCTAAGTAAGTGGATAACATCTTAACTAATTTTATCTATAAACATTATTTTTTTAATATTATATGTTTATGTACATTATTTTAATAACACATTATTTTAATAACAATTATGTTAAGTGTTAACATTTTGTTATTTAAATTTCTTTAACTTGTGAAACTATAAAGTGATGGTGAAGAATAGTTAAATTTTAGCATGTGCATGTATTTTTCCTATAATGGATACTTTCAAAATTGATGAGATTATTTTTATTAAATCTAGTTATTTTGAGTTACTTAATAAATGTTAAACATGGACATTAGTTATGAAATTTTATTTTGGTAAGTTTTTAATGATCAAAATTCTTCATGCGAGTTTGATTTTAAGAATGAAAATTTTATTTTAATAGTGATGATTTTCTTGCATGTTTGAAAATAGACTTGAAGGGGACTTTCTATAGAACACTAGTTGTTAACACTAGCTTCATTAGCCCATAGCACCATGATCAATGACTAGCTAGTTAGATTTGTATGAGGTTTGTTCTCACATCTGTCATCCATAGGTCTTATACTTAAGCTTGATTTTATGACTTTGAACCAAATTTAGTTAGCATTATCCTCTTAGACTGTGTGTCCATTATAAGATCCAAGAAAATTAAATCTTGATTTATTAACTTAATAACTATGATTAGTGAGTTAATGAAGTTTGTGGCTAGAAGGGCCTAATTGGTGTAATCTATTGTAATTTTAGCCTTAGAAGTGGGTCCGGATCAATAGTGGGCCACCCAGGCAAGGAAAGAGGAAGAAAAAGTAAAAGTTTTTCCGTTATGTCACATGCCGCTACGTGTGGTCAATCCACCGTAGCGCATAGGGTAGATTTAAATATAATAACCTCTTTGTGCCATGCACTGTGGTGGAGAACAGTATGTGCCATAGCGCACAAATATGTCTCTGTGTGTAAGAATAGAGAAGAGGAGAAGACGAGGATGTAGAGCTCGACTAAAGCTCTACTAAGGCACATTATTGGATCAAATTGAAGATAGATTGAAGCTCCCAAATACCCAAAGTAAACAATCTATGCCTTCTTCTTCATTTTTCTCCCTCATCTATGGAGATTTAAATTAGGGTTAGAATTGAAAAGTTTATTTTCAGTCCAGAAGAGTATGGGTCCATTTTTATTGATTAAGATGGATATAATGAGAGTTGTTTAGGGTATTAGAGCACCACATTAATGATTGTTGAAGTGATTGGTTCATGGGAGTAATAAATATCCGAAAATCAACATAAATGAGGTAGTTGGGAGAGTTCTTATGCCCATTAATGGTGGTTTAAAGAGTTATTAATGATAATGTGCATTAATGAAGCTTAAATGTGCATTAATGAAGCCTAATGAACCCATTGGGTGTAAATGGGTAGTGATTTATAAGATTGATAGAATAGACATATAGAGATTGGTATTGGAAAATCCTCAAAATTGAGACAATGATAGTATCCTTATGTTATGAATGTAATGAGGTTCGATTTTGGCACCATTCAAGCTTGGAAGAAAATTTGAAAGTTTTTTGTATGAGGGGTAAACCTTTGACCTTTTAAAGGTTTAAAGTAATAGGAAAAAATTTAATTGATATAGTTGAATATTAATTTTTTGTTTATTGAAATGGTTGATTTGGAATGTGATTTATATTTCTAAATAATGATGCAATTGACAATGTGGTGATTTTTAGGGAAATGGTTTTGAAATGGGAAAACCTTATGCATGCCATCCATTATGTTTGATGGTGTTTAATTTGATAGCATGTTGTAAGAATTTACTAAATATGTTTGTGACTTGTGGAGTTTGTGAATTGGGAGGTATGATTTCATGTGAGATGTATTGTGAATTAGAATACATAAATATGTAAAATGTGCATAACATGATCATTGGCAGGAGTTTGCCTAAAGAGAGGAGAAGGTGAATAAACCCACATGATATTGGCAGTAACCGTTGAAATCAAGAACTTGCCTTAGCACCGACCGTTAGAATCGGGAGGTAGCCTTTGTACTATGGTTGATTTGAAACTGTTCCACTTGTTCTATAAGAGACTTAAACCTAATCAGTCTCCACTGGTTCATAAGGAGGCTAGATTAGGGGTGCGACACCCCATGGTTATTAGTATTAGGGAAAACCAGATTACATAAGTGAGTGAGTTAACCCTAGCTTGATAGCTCCTCACAAGTGAAAGGCTGAGTAGTCCGTGAAGGACATAGCCACGTGATAGCCACAGGTTTCATATCGAAAGTAATAGGAGGGTATAAGGTTGGCATATGATCATACATATAAGTCCAGCCATATGATTGTTAGTATTGTAATTCAGCATATATTAAGGGCGCATGATTGGTAATATTGCGACCTCGTGCTTTGCATGGTAAATCAATATAATATATATGTTTTTAGGCTCAGTCACATGGTTGTTAGTTTTGTGAACCATGGCTAAGTTTCTCATATGTGTTATATGTGCGTTTGGCTATTTGTATCTATTTACAATTGATATCTAACCTTATAGATTAGGTGAAACTTGATTATTGAGTGGTTGTGCTCAACCCTAAATTCCTAATATTTTCAGAGCCTAGCTCACAGATCCAAGTCAAGGAAAACACACAAAGATTTAGGATTGTAGAGTAATCTTTTTTGTATGCCTCTCTTGTTGTTTTTATGAGTAAATATTAATGCAATTACCAGCTAAGATCATATATCATTATTTTGCATTACTTACATTAGCTTGTATACAACTTATGTATTTTGCACCGCAAGTTAGTGAGTTTTAATTGTAAACTTATAGATAGGATTAAAATACTTGTACAAGTAGAAACATGTGTATTTTGAAAGATTTGGAATGAGTATGATGATTTTGTGCATGATTTTTCTCCCCTTATGTTTTGCAAAAATTCGGGTTTGAGAGGTAATTTTAAAAAATATGTGTTTTTGATTGTGTATGGTGTGTGTTGCATGGGTTTGCGAGTCTTTTGAGTATGATTGGATGATTCATGTAGGCTTTTGGCACTTGTGGTTGAGTTCAGACACCAAGATTGTGTGTTTTTTGTGAAAAGTGATAAAATGGGTTTTGGTGTTCAACTTTTTATGGAAAAGGAATTTGAGTGTGAAACTAGTGCCGTTAGCTAGAGTAAGGAGAAAGCTTCATGTAAACACCGAAACCACCTTAATCGGACGTCAGACGGAGATTTAGGACTCGTCGAAAGTTCACTCCTTATGCTATCAAATGATAGCAACTAATACTGTCAAATTTGTGCAATGTGTTGTAGCACATGACGCCTCACACTATGGTGCATAGCATAGAGAAGGGTGAGCCACGGCGTATGTGTCATTTTTTACACAAAATCTTGTTTTGAGTTTTGAAACTCATTATTTTAGGTCCCATTTGTTTTTCAAGCTCTGCATCATTTTTAAACTCTGATTTGAACATTTTAACTGTGTGGTTGAGATTGAAAATTGGTTTGGCATTCCATTATATATGATTTGAAATTTTTTTCTTTTATAAAATTTTACAACTTTGGTAATTCTTTAAGGGTTATTCTCTTGATTTCTTTGATTATGGAGTTAAATGCAATTAAGTAAGGGAGATCTTATATCCATTTTTATCTTTATAGCATAAGATGCGTTTGGTTATTTACTATCATAGACTATATGTTCATATTTGTTTCTTGTTGTAATAAGTCCCTAAAAACATGAATTTTAAATTATTTGGTGATTACCCACTCCATTATTTTAATTAGTAAATGTTACTTATTGTTTATTCTATTTATTTGTCTTCTTGAGATGAAGTGACAAGGATATTTGACATTATAAATTTAATGGTTATTTTTATTTAAGGCTATATAGAATTTCTTAACTTGAAAGTTTATGAAATATTTTATATGAAATTATTGTGTCTTTAATTTTTTATAGTCATTGTTATTTATTCATTTCATCCTTTTAAATTTTATAAATGTTGGAACGCTATTGGTTTCAAATTGGTGTAGCTAGTCCTATACCTCCAAAGGACCATTGAGGGATTTAGAGCAAAGATGAAGTTAGAGTGCTATTCTTGGTTAATATCTATTTCTTTTAAAACTTGAATTTGTATATTATATTTTATAAATTATATTTTAGTTGCTCCACATAAAGTATAGTTAAGATCCTCATTTGGTTATCTTTATTGTTGGTTTGCTATCAAGACCTGAGCTCTTAATTGTTGTTTTGTGCAAAAAAAATATTGTTGTAAAATTTTTGAGAGACTCTATCTTTTGGGAAAGGTTCTATCACAATTTTTACAAAAATATTAAATATTTTATTCTTATTATCCACAATAAAAAATGGTTTGATTGGTTGTTAGATGTCTTCATGGTCTAAAAGCTAGAGTTTGTTAAGTTGAGGCTTTTTAGGATATGAATTTTGTTCATATATTCCATATCAGTCACACCATATTTTGAGGGCATGACATCTCACACACATTACTCATGGATACATTCATATGCAGAATTTAAACACAATTCCAATCTATTTATGAATCTTGTAACTAATTATCTGTCATAAATTATGCTATTTGGGTTGTTGTGTTATGTTTTTCCATGTTATAGTGGCTTACTTTAAGGAATGGGGTTGATTATGATAAGTCGCTGATTAAGGAAGAGAAGGTATATTCGTCAATCTTTTGCCTAACAAATTTCCAAACACCCAAAGTTAAATTCATCATTCTTTATCAAATTCCTCCTCAAGAATTGATTAATTTGACGAAAATTTCAACCCACATCAATCTTCCTCAAGCCACAACCAAAGCAATTATCCAAATCACAACATACACAAATAACAAATTTAATGGAAGGAAGATAATAGATATTGAAGCTTAACCTCAACAAAGATTAAAAGAATGGAAGGAAGAATTCAAGCTTCACTCACTCACCCAAACAAACGACGACCCACACGCCTACACTCCAGCAAATGGGAAGAGGGAGGAAAAGGGAGGATGGAGAGATAGAGGCTTTTGGTTCCTTTTCTACTACAAGCAACTTCCCAAAGAAAAATGGGAGAGGAAGACTATAGAAGAGTCCCAATTGTGTATTTTATTTTTGGTTTTATATATTATTATTATTATTATTTTAAATGAGGGCAAAAATGGTAATTCAAAAAGCTGAAGTAAAAAATAAAAAGGGGAAATCGCACTAAGAGCCCTAAAAAATATTATTGCACTTTAAACCTAAAAAACTCCAATATTGGACTGTGGGCCTTGGGCTCTTATTGCTATTTTTTTAAGACCAAAAATACAATTCTACCCTTTCTAATTCATATTTCACACCCTGTGTCACACACACTCTCTCTTTCTCTCTCTTCGCATCAGATTTAGAAACTAAAAAGGTACAAGCACAGGGGATTTCCAAAACTGCATCAAAATGGAGTTCCTGAAATGAAAGGGCTATACTGTCTCACAACAACTACCTTGCTTATCCACACTTAACCATTTATATCCTTTTTCTCTTCTAGTTTGTCTTTGTGAAAATGCTACTTCTTCGCTACTTGCAATTAATTTCTTGCTCGATGACCCACATTTGAATTGTCCCATTGAAAGAAGGAGAATTAGGGCCTTCGACATATGGATTTGTCTTTGTTCCTGAAATCACTGGCGTCCTGACATCACTAGCGATGTCATTTGTGAAATTCATGGTGTTGATACATTGTCTTATGTATAGTAAATGTTGTGTTATGCATGGTTTGCCTAATTTATCCATTTTGTTGAGCCTAGGCTACTGAAATATTAGAAAAGGTATGGACTTTCAGTTGAGCATACATAAACATTATTTTGTACACAGTGGATGTTGTGTTATGCAAGATTTCACATAAGTTTTCTGAATTCAAATCAAACAAAGGGCAAAAATGTACTTTTAGTCTCAAGAAAAATTGCAATAAGGGCCCCAAGGCCTATAGTATAGTATCAAACTTTTTCATGCCCGAAGTGCAATTATTTGTGTGTTTAGGGCCCTTAATATGATTTCCCCATATAAAAATCCCTCCTTGCACCATGAAGATTTGCAATCAAGACTGACAAATAGGCATCGAGAGAAATTCACTAAACACTAATATATCTTATTAAGTCTAACCTAAAAAAATATAAATATAATAAAAATACTTTATCATTAACTTTCAATTTTTTTAAAAAATTTGGGTTATTACACATCTCTACGGGATCCAAGTGCCATTTTAGTAGTAACTCTTGAACTATTTTGACATGGCCTTTAAAATATGCCCAATAAATTAGTAAGAAGCCATCATTGTCCCTTTCCATAGTGCAGGAACGACATTGTTGTGCTAAGAAGGAAACACCTTGACAGTAACCCAACATTGCTACTCAATGAAGGGGAAGCCATCCCTTTTCATTGATCAAGTGCGCCCAATTAGGTTTTTCTTCTCAATATGGTTTGTAGCATATCTATTATAAACAAGGCCATATTAATCATGATTTTTTGATGTTTAAATTAAGAAAATACTATGTGTTAATGAATATATGTGTGTGAGAGAGTGAGAGAGATATAATATTACTCTTGATGAGCCAATAGAAGAGTTACCTAAATTGTTGTTGATGAGTGTGGGAAGAAAGGGTGATTTTCCTTGAGGCTCCAACTCACCCTCGATATAGAAATTCATCAACTTATCAAGAACCTCCTTATGATTAAACTCAATGGTCAAATACAACAATAATTTCCATTCGACATTGATTGCAAATGGTGTTAAATGATTAACAATTCTCTTAAATCTAGCTTTGAACTTTGAACCACCGTATGTATCAAATGCTTCGAAAAGAAGAGCACTATTGTGGCTTCCAAACATAAAGGCCTCGTGAAGGAAGATGTTTCCTTGTTTATTTTGAAACAAAGAAAGTGATACTATAAGAATCATTTTCAAACTGAATTGATGATCATGACCATTAATAACCTATCCCATTCTTGCAGCAACATATAGTGCAGTATCATTGTTGTTGTTAATAACAGTAAAAAGATGAGGAGCATATGTTGAGAAACTTTCTCTATCATAGCATTGATTTCCACTGTTAGTTGCTAGGTGCGAGACGATACTACTGCCAAACTGAGGTACATTGCTTGAAACTGGCATTATCTGGTACAGTGAAATCTTTATTTGGACCAGAAACATTGGCTTTCATGAAACGGCATGCATCCTTCACCAGATTCCAATTCTTGCTTGGTCCATGTTCTGCTAACTCATGTTTCAAACTCGGGTGTTCAAATCTTAATAAGGGTTCACGCATTAACATTCTCATGTCATCAAAGGTAAAAGATAGTGGTGGCGGCGGCATCGGTGCAAGTGGTATTTCCTCTTTTTGGTTTGCTTCTCCTTCCTCGAATTTAGCGCACCGCTTGAATACATTTATTGTAGATGGTTCACTTGGCAGTGAGAAGACATTCTTCAAGTACTTGTTTGCTGGAAACAACGTGTAAATCCCCATCATCTATATAAATTGAAAGATGAAGAGCACAGATTCCTGTTGTGTAATGGCAAAGAACAATAGTGGGATGCTCACATCATAGCACAATAATGAAATCTGGCTTACCTTGGATAAATTCAGATTCACTTGACAATGAGAAGAAGACGCACCGTTGAATAAAATCTGGCATGTTTGCTTGAGTTAGTGTTTAAATCCCAATCATGCACAAATATATATATATATATATATTGATTAAAAGTATTCATTCATTTTGCGTAACTTCATGGAACTAATGTGTTATTATGGTTGCTACATTATTGATTTGAACTTGAATCCTCTTCCTACTTTCTTACAATGTTCATTTAATTTTATAGAATCTCATCTATCTATTTGGTTTTTTGGCCATGCATTTATCATATCACTTATTCAATATTTTTGAAAACAAGGTCACATGCTTATTTAATTTAAACTAATAATAATAATTAAATAATATATTTAATTTTATACCACAATTAATAATCTTGTACCATTAAACTAAATAGATAATCAAATGAATAAATAAGATTGCAGTAGTAGAGATGTATATTGAAAGCAAGTATGGAGAAGATTTAATTTTTTTTCTTTCTTTCTTTATTTTCTTTTCTTTTTTGTTTTTTGTTTTATCATGGCAAAGTGAGTAGCTGACTTTAGCTGTGCCACTTTTGTTTCCATTGGTTGTTATAGAAGAACAGATCCGATCTATTCCGTTCCAAATTGAGAAGAACCCAAATTATTCCATCTTCGCCTTAAACGGAAATAGAGGATGAATTGTAAACAACATAGAATCATTTACTTGAAATAATACATTTTCTATCCTTTTATTGTAAATGTATTTTGTCCCAAAAATATTTCTCAAGAATGTATAGGCACCCTGAAGAAAATTAAATTGCTTCACAATTTCTTTTTATAGTGCTCATAATTCTTTTAAGATAAAAATTACTCTAAAATATACTTTTAATCCTCTAACTTTATATAAGGTTTTAATTTAGTTTTTTAATTTTATAAAATATATTTTTAATCTTTTAGTCCTAATATTATTAGTTTCAAATGATTATTTTTTGTGTCAATCATTATTGTTTTTTAAAAAATTAAACTTGATATGTCAACATTTAATAATATTTTGTCAATATTTGAAAGTTCAATATAAAAATTTATTGGAATAAAACTAACAATATTAGAGTTAAATGAATAAAAAGATAGTTTATAAAGTTAAGGAACTAAAATGAAATGTTTTTTAAAGCTAAAGAACTAAATGTATATTTTAACTTAAAAATTAAGTTCAATCCTTAATTTAGTATGAAATCATTTTTATTCATAATACTATTGAAATCGATTAAATGTATATTTAATAAAGATAATATTGCATACATAAGATGAAATGTAACACGCGCATCTCATAAAAAATTATTAAATTATGAAACATACTATTTTATAATGAAAAGTTATTGAACCTTCATAATAATTATTTAAAACACCCATCCTCAGATTAATTTATGTAGACTAACATATCATTAAATTTATAAACCTTTACAAGATGAAACTGGAAACTCCTCTAAACTGTCAGATCCTGGTGTCCTGCACTCACAATAATTAAAAATTTATTAGAACTAGTTATTGAAAAAATTTGTCAATTATGACTAAGCATGACAACTTACAGTGATGAATCATTCTTTTTTCCTCACTTTTAACCCCATGGCCAACAGCATACACATGTGCCAAATTATCATTAAATTTTATCCGCTATTGAACTCCTTCATCATCTATAAGATCTATATATGTATTGCAATCAAACTTGACTGTGAATTTCAACCTTTCCACTTTAAATTGAGTGCCAATTAGTGATGAGACCATGGTCAACAAATCATGATAATTCATGCCTTCTCTAATAAATTTTACATCTACTCTTCCCCTTTCATATTGCATCCTCCCTTCTGAATTTTTAACAAATTCTCCTCTAGCATGAATATAACAACATACTTCTTTTGATGAAGTACTTCCCATGGGTAATTTAAACCTGCAAAAACCAACCTATAATTTTATTGATGCATCTACCCTTCCAATATTTCCAAATAAAGCTTCCATTATCCAGCTCCCAATTTGATAGTTTTCATGAAACAAGCATTTTTCATAATAACAAGAGCCAAATTCCAATGCATGTTAAGCTAAAATAACCGATAAAAGAAACAAGAGCATTCCTCCATTGACAACATATTGAGCTATACCAACTAAGGAAATAATGATCGACATTCTTGATTTGTAAAATAAAAAGGGGGAAAATGATACCGAATAAGAAAGATAGCCAAATTCTTTTTAGATGAGAGGAACAATAAAGACAACCATGAGGGAGAGACCACTGATTTTCAATATCAGAAACAGAATGACAAGACCAAGAGGAAGAAGAGAGGACTTACTGGTTGCAATGGCACCTACTTTATGGAAGACCGAGATCAAGGACGAAGTAAGAAAAACTCAAGATTTCTCAGTGAAAATGAAAAGGAGCATAATAAAGCCTTTTGTTCAGAGTTTAAACTATTGTACAGCAACAGCAAGGAGAAACCTTATAGACAAAACAAGCTATGAGAGAAAAGTATATGAGTTGGCATCCGTCAAAATGTCAAAAGATGCTTTTGGTTAAGGCAAAATCACATCTACGACCTTTAAAGCACACTATTTATGAAAGAAGACCAAATAATTCTGAAATCATTCTAAAACAAAGGGACCTAAATGGAATTAGATTAGGTTGCAAAAGACCAAACTACCCGTGGTATTTTTCTCATAAAAAAGAAAAGGTCATATCCCACAGTCACCATCACCGGTGATTTTTACTAAAATATCAAATTCTGTTAAGCTTTTAATAAGTAAGCATTATATTAGGTTATAATGATATCTTCTACTTATCAAACTTTAACTTGTTAACAAATTCTCATTAATAATTTAACATGGAAACATTAATAAAATAACATGTTAAGTTAAGGTCTTGATAAGTAAATGATGTGAAAACTAAAAACTAAGTTGATAATACATACATAATATTTTGAAACATACAACTAAAGAACTATAGTGATTGGTGGCTTGGTGGCAACATAGGTTTTTTGGTGGCCCTGACCGCCTTAGGGATTTAGTAGGTTGCTGCCAGCCAACGTTGGCGACTGTGGAATATGACTTTTTTTAAAATATATATATCGAGTATAGCTTAGTTTTTTCACAACCTAATTTGATTTCATATAAGTTCCTTGATTTTACAGAGCAATTTCAGAATTATTTAGTCTTTTTTTTTATAAATAGTGTGCTTCAAAGCTCATGAAATACAAATTTCCATTTGGTTAATGCTTTGACAGAGCCGGTACCTGGTAGAGCTGGTCTAACAAGCCTCCACATATAGAGCTGGTCTAACAAGCCTCCACATATAGAGCTGGTCAGGAAAAAACCAGCATAGCTAATTTTCTAAGAGTTAATGTAACTGAGAGGATTGGCAAATATTTGGGATCATGGATAGACCTGCAAAGGAACTAAAACTCATATGCACCAACATATGGTGGATTCTGTATTAAAAAGAATAAACTCTTGGAAAGGAAAGCTTCTCTCACAATCTTCTTGAATAACTATGCTCAAATCAGTAATATCAGCGGCAAACATTTACCAGCTTTCATGTACCAAACTGCTGAAAAAGTACTGTAATATCATAGACTCTCATTCTAGGGGATCAATGGTGATAAGAAAAGAATACATCTAGCTTCCAAAAATGTTTTGTTTACTCCCATATCTGAGGGAGGTCTTGGCCTAAGACTAATGCAGAAAGTTAATGAATCCTTACTTGCTAAGCAAGTGTGGACGTTGATAAATGCAGAAAATGATTCTTTGATGGCTAATACTCTTAAAATCAAGTACATTGATTTGATGAAACCAAAGGTGGTGAAAAAAACCATACAATTCATCTTGGCATTGGAAAGGAATATGGGAAATCCCAAGTCTGATAACTTCAAAGCTGAAATGGAAAGTGGTTAATGGCTCTAAAATTGCTATATCCAGCCATTTGTGGTGGCCCATGATCACAAACGACAACTCTGCTGGCACTACTACAAAAAATGGAATAAATGACGGTTATTTTAATCTATAAATGACGGTTAATAAGTTTCATTTATTCGGCTGACATTTAAAGACCTCCAATAAATGATGGTTATAAAACCATCATTTAAAATAAAATTTTTACAAAGAGAGAAGCAAAATGAAAATTTAAATGACGAGTAAATAATATACCTGTCATTTAAATGAAGTATAAATGACAGGTATATAACTTACCCATCATTTAAAGAGATTTTAAATGATGGGTGAAAAAATGTACCCATCATTTAAAGTCTAGTAATAAGTATGATCATAGTTTAAATGATGGGTAAATGAGATACCCGTCATTTAAAGACAGTATAAATGACGGGCATATTTTTTACCTGTCATTTATTTCAGTATAAATGACTGTTATTTATATAGCCGTCATTTTTATATGGTTTTTTTTAAGTCATGAACTATTTTTATACTAGCTCCCTGCAAAAAGAAATCAAAATAGCAGTAGCCAACCATTTCAGATTTGAATATCAACAAAATTTATTTTATTCAATTTCAAAATTAATCAATAAACAAATGTAATTACATTAAGTAAACCTTTTTCAAAAATAAACTACCTATTAAAAAAAACTTTCTAGCTACTTCTTCAAAGTAGTTCTATTAATCTTCTTTGTATGAGGTCCACACTTGAAAAATATATTGACACCATTCTTCAATTACCTCATTTATTTCTGCATCCCTAAATTCTTCAACCTAAGAATCATCATGGTACTGCAATATATAAATTATTCAACATATATTAATATAATTTTAATACATTAAATATTTTTGTAATTTAAAAGTTAATATTTTTGACATACCATCCCAAGAATTAAGCTCTCGTTATGGATAATGATATCCTTCATGAACCTCATGATGCAATAGCCACAATCCAAACTATTTGTCTTTTGTCTTGGACACTAAAAATTAAAGAATATATGAATATGTATTAATGCATTAAATTTTAATTTAATAAATGATTTCAATTACCTTAATTATATTCCAAGTGTAGGCCGCATCAAAATTTGTAAAGGACCTTGGAATT